TATATATAAATATTTTTATAGAAATATTTCGTTTATATGTATATATATGCCATTTCTCGTAACGTATATAAGATTTAAATAAATTGAAAATAATAATTTTAAAATTTGGAATTATATAAAAAAAGATATCATTTTGTATTAATTTAAGATTCTACAATATGATGATTTCTCATTAAATAACATGCGGTCAACTCTAAGATGTTTCACATTTTCATATTAAATTAACATTCACGAAGGCGTTCATACATCCAGACTAGAGCACTTAGAATTACTTATTTTTAGTCACTAACCCTGTGTATATCCTTGCACGACGGTTTTGATTTGTTTAAATACAATTATCGCACAGCTTCGTCATGCAATCGACTTTCGCGTTGGTCATCTTGAACTGAAAACATTTACAGTAATCGTTCCAATACCTGATTATTCGAAAACATTCACGCGACACTTAAAATTTCGTCACTTGCATCTTATCTGCATTTAAAAGCAAAATATCCAAATATCTATTTCATTTGAATCAAAGTCAATGTATTTGCGACATAGGCATCGATACATTTGTTTTCTTTCGATAATATTTAATTACGATTGCGTCGATTATCTTAGAAACAATGCAAAGGTAAATCTCACACGTAAAAAGCACATTGTTAATTTATAATTATCCAAGGTCCCTACAAACCGGTTCGTGATCGACAGAATTTTGATCCCCCAAAACTCAAAATGTTTTTCCTTTTACTTCCAAGAAGCAGATTTATATTCGGCGTCACGAATGAATTATTTCAAAATATCTTACGCGCTGATGCAATTCTCTACTCGAATGAATTTATCTTTTTCTTTTGAATGCGAAATTGTTTCACAATTATATAATATATATATATAACTCTTAATACACTGTAATACCCTCCTATTCCGCATTCATTATATCGTGCTGTGAAGATTTTTAACTCAAGTCGATCCAAGCAGCTTGTCCACAGGATCGGACGAAGAAGACGATGCAAGTGCGCGGTCGGGAAACTCGTCCGACGTTAAAACTCGTTAAAAATTTCTCGCATCTCGTGTACTTTTCTACGTTCGCGAAGCCTTTCCAGCGGCGGCATAAAATTGGATGCGCGCGTTAACGCGTGACGCCTGATGTGTTATTTCTGAACAATCCGGCCCAGCTTCATTTTGAGACCATCGGCCCCAAATCCGGTCCCCTATACGATACAATCTTATCACAAAGGTCATTACTACAAAATGTTTCTTACATTCATTTCTTCGCTATCTATCGGTTTTTGTTTTTTTTTCTTTGTATCCGTTTCGTTTTTGGTATATTTGCACGATTTAAAACCTAAGAAATCGCACGCGCGTCGGTCCCGCACGATCATTGTTCGTCCTTTCGCGTTTCCTTTTCCAGCCTCCGTCTCTCTCGCATTTTTTTTTTTCATACACACACATTATCTCGCCTACACGCCCAATTCGCCGTGACGCATATATATGTGTGTGTATGTATATTTATATATTATATAAACAGACGCCATGAAAAGCGCTGACAGTGATCTCGACAATAGAGCCGATAAAAATAGTTCTCAGTCGATAATCCGATTTATGAACATGTATGTATATGTATAGTTATGTATAAGAAATTTCCTTGCACAGCTCGTGCCGCGGCTCGTTCCTCATCCTTTTGACCCCTTTCAAACGACGCGCTAGTCAGCCGCGAGAATTCTCGTCGCGCTCTCGACACACACGCGTATACACGCACATATCATACACACGTACACATATATGTATATATACATATATGTATAATATATTTATATATCTGTATATATATACAGGGAGGGTTGTGGACAGACAATTAAAGTGGTGCGTTAGCTTCGTTCGAGGAACCCAGCTCGGTCGTTGGTATCCTCCACTTTCCGTTCCACTTTCTTGGCTCTCTTCGTCTTGTTCCTCTGCACAATTTCTCGCTCGTGATCTTTCGCACGTACGTCCAGCATCGTGAATTCTCCTGCGAGTCCGACTTTTCGCGTGTGCAGCCGCGATCGAGAAGGTACAAGGCGCGAAGTTTCAGCGTGATTGCAAAATATGAGCGATGTCGCGCCTTCGTGGACAGGTGGTATAAGCGCGCGAAAGGTCGTAAGGATGAGAGATGAGAAGAGAGAAGAGGTCGACCGGGCAGAGGATCTTACGGCGGAAGTGAGAGCGCGTTTGAGCGGGTGTTGTTCTTTATACAGGCACCGACAGACACAGATAGACTGATCGAGAGACTGACCGGGGAATCGTGATTGATCAATCGATCGATCGAGCAAACGATCGATACCGATTTGACTGAGACTGACATGGCACGGCGACTCCGATCGAGAGTACACGGTCACAACGTCACAGGCCACCTGCTGGCACACAAACAAACACACGGACAGGTTAGTCACCACCACACACCAGATATAAAGATTTATCTCCGGGCAAACGCGCGCGGTGATGGTTTTTTCGGGGATTCCGCGAGATCTACTGTGCCCAATTATTTGCAGACAATCAATCTTGAATTGACCATCGTGGGTATTATTATTTGCTACATTACAAATGTAGTATGACGCGATATGATCAATTCTTTATGAAAATAGAAATCAATTAGAAATTATTCAGAAATCAATAAATATGTTATCGGAAAATTAGATATTATATAATTCTCTATTATATTTTTTTATATTGGCATTGTTATGTAAAAAATAAAAATTTAAAATTATTTCAAGATATTGTCTTGTTGAATTAATATTCTAATAAGGCAATATCTTTTGAAAGTTCGTCTGATAAGAAAATTGCGCACACAAGAGTCACTTCGACCGTTAAAGTATTACATCAAAAGATCAAATTCGATCTTTGCGGAATCTCCAAACCGACACCGTGCATCGTGTACACAGGTAGTTTGCCGAGTCGTTCTTTTCAGACATGAGCAACGAGCATCCATTTTGTTCAGCTTGACAGACAGTCACAAGGAAAAAGAAACAAAGTGTTTGGCAGCGTATCGATGGAAACTCGTTGCTAATGCAACGCGGTCGGTGAAATTCGCCGACGGTTTCCGGATTTAGAGATTACATGCAAATAACTGCAATAGTAGTTCAAATTACGCGTAACATATCCAATAATCTTTTCATAGTTGAAAGCTGTTTGTCCTCGATTGTCCCAAGCGGAAATTGCGACAACGGTAGAATAAGGATAAGTAGAACATTTTTCTTGAATGTAAATTACGATTACTTTCGGAAACGATCGGTTTACCCACCGCTTGTGACGATCGGCTGTACACTCCACCCCCCTCCCCCCAAAAAATCACATGGCAATGTTAGTACTACTAACTAATAAAGCGTCGTAGCGTGATTATAACCATAAAAAACTTAATGATATTATTATCACGTGAGAACGTATCCAATTCTGTGCGCCTCAAACATTGAACGAAGGATACACGCGATATAATAGCTGCTGATACAATTATAATGAGTGAGGTAGATCCTTGTGTGTATCGCTCGTATACGTATGCCGACTCAACTGCTGGCTTAAACTACGTGGTTATTGAAATAGAGAGCTAGATAAAGAGACAAAAAGAGAGATAGAAAGAGATAAATTACAAAAATACACGAAGAAAAAAAAAACAGAGAGAAAAGTCAAATCATCAAATGGTTACAAGGTACGACTCGTGAAACGCTGCGTGAAAATTTAAAGCGAACTACTCTTACTCTCCTGGGGGAAAAAGCTACGTTGTTAGTGAACTTCACGTACGTAATTTCACTTTGTGCAACAGTAAGTTAGCACAGAAAGCTTTACTGGCAGCCTTTTGCAACGAGATGTTGTTTGATTGCGTCACCCGGGAACGTGCCGCCAGGTTTGCATCTTCGAGATTCGAAGAGACGACCATGTTTTCGACACCGTGTGATAAATACGGGCGAATACGATGATTTGAAAGACCTGTATTATATTACCGCGTATTTAGCGATGAACATGGATATTCAATTTTCACCGCGCCTGCGTTCATATTAAAATTGTTTTTCTTTATATACTAAACGTTTTACTTCGTAAATAAACTGAATTCAAGAGTGAATGAGCATGTTTAACGCTAAATATGCACTACCAGAGTCCGTTCCTACGTAACAAACTGTAACTCGAAAATCGAGTTGAGTTGAAACTCGGGAAGCTTTTTATTCATCTTGCGTGTGAAAAAGTCTATTTTGAAATATTACATATTAGAGCCATTTATTTTGAAAGCTATTGTATTTATTGTGAAGGCAAAAGTCAAATGAAGAAATCTATTTAAAATTGATTATATCTATTACAGACAATCACATCATAAAGCCTTTACATGCAAATTTATTTATCTTTTATGAAAGCGGAATGAAGTAGTCTTTATAACTCTTGCATGCAAATTCCCTTATGTGTTTGACGAGAATATAAAGCATACATAACATATACTCTCAACGTATGCATTAAAATTCTCTTAAAATTCAATATGCAAATTTACTTTCGATATAAATGGCCCATTTAACTCCTAAATGGATTGCGCATTGTCTTGAGTAATTATATTTCATCGGATTCACTAGATTTGTTGTAGAAATATCGGTCATAATGTTTGAAATCAGTCATTATAGGAAATCAAGTTACTCGAAATATAAATATGCTAATATTAAATTTACTATATTCGTTAATCCTATCCTATTTCCTTTAAAATTACTGGAATGGATTGTCGAAGAAAGTAGGATTTCTATGTTTAATTCGGCACTGAAAGGATTAATAGATGTAATGTATGATATACGATCGCGACGGACGTGAACAGAATAGACAGATTGTTGGACTAAAAATGTACTGAGAATTCACACGTGGGCGGACCAGTAGGTAGAAGAGAGAGAAGACAATTCGGCGGGACAGTTCGCACAAGCGACACGTTAAAACGATAAATTACGTTCCTGAACCTCGGAAGAAAAGTCAAGTCCGATGAACAAGAGAGTCTTCTGGATTATCACAGCCTCGTTTTGATAGGACGACGAAGGTGTCGCACGGCGACGTCTCCTCTTCGGCGTCCGAGGACGCTCGATCGTAGCCCGTTAGTTCGCTACCTTCGTGAAAAATACTGTTTGACTAGAGAACATTGTGGAATCCTGCCACCTAATACTTTTGTTTGTCTATCTATCGTTAAATAGCGATACTCCGCTACGGAATAATGATTAATTATCGCGGTTATAAATTAAACGCGCGAGCGTCGTCCCGATTAAGGACGCCGTCGAGCCGAGATGTCCGAGAAGTCCTTGGTATCTACCTACGAACGCTCTGTGACGTCGGCTAGTACGGCTTAGAGGCGTCCTTGGACCGTTTTAACTGGACCTTCAGCCGCTTCATGCCAATCTGGAAACCGTGCATTGTTTGGATCGCCACTTGCGCGCTCGTTGCATTATCATACGATACGAAACCTGAAACAACATTGTAAAATGCAGAATTTATACATTCCATTCGTCCGTATCGCATCGCGCGGTTTGCAAAAATTCGAATCGGAATAGAATTGATTCTTATTTTGTTTCCTCGGATAAAATATTTAAATGATATAGTTTGAATATAATATTATTTCTTATTCCGGAACGCACTGAATCGGAATTGAAAATCAGAAATTGCTTTAGTTTAAAACTCTCTCTAGTCACATGTACTCATTACAAAGCTATCTTCATATTTAAACACTCGTCTTATTCCTTCCATTATTCAACTGTATTAATTCAACTTACCGAAGCATTTGCTCATGTGCGTGTGCTTATCTATGAAAACTTTGGCGGATATGACGTTGCCGAAGGGCAAAAAGGTGGAGATGAGATCCGTGTCGCTGAATTCCTGCGGTAGATGGTAGATAAAGAGGTTGCAACCTTCAGGACCCTCAATCTGCTTGTCTGTGTTAGTGAACTTCGTCTTCTGGGTTGCCGCCGCCGCAGCGGCTGCAGCTGCCGTGAACGCGGGAAACCCTGAAATCCGAACGCGTTGTTGATAATGCTTGTGTTATTTTCTTCGAAGTGACATAAATCGAATTTAAAAAAATCTCGTCGAAAAAGACACATTTTAAGTTTACCTTGTATCTCAATATATTGTAAATTACGATTTCTCAAAATTTGACTTACGCTATTTCTCGATAAAAACGACTAGGTCAATATAAATCGACGCAATGGCTTAGCGCACACATCCCAGCTTATAGAAATGCATGCGAAGGCGAGGAGATATATTTAATTAATTGAGATATATTAGATTTATTCAAATCTAATCCAAAAATGATTATGAGCAAATAAACATGTTAATGAAGAATAGAATGAGAAATGTCATTACATATATATTTATACGATTATTATGAAATTAAATTATAATTTGTAAGCATGATATTATAAGAAGATATAACAAAATTTTATAAGGTCTTAAATATTTGCAACAATGGTATTGCAACATATAGTTTTATTTATTTTATTTTTACAAATATATTTTGTTTACTGGGATATGTGAGTTATCTAATAGATACATGCGATCCAATTGGTTGTCTTTTTTCAAATATTCATTTGGTTCACTTTCATATTCTTGTGTTACAGGTATCCCGATTCTTTCAATGACTAATTCCTTTTATTGCAGGATCATTGATCAATTTTAATATCTTGCATTTGCATCAATTTCATAAAATGTTCTATGGATAAAATTTAAAATTAGATAGCTGGTTATATATGCGACATCAATCAAAGATAAATATTTAATAATTATCAAAGATAATAGTTGGTAATACTAAAAGGTAATACTTGTAATGTCAATTAAATTGTCCCAGATTCTGTGTTCTAGATTCTAGCAGCAGTTAGTCATATCATGTTGCAAAAAAGTATATTAATCCGAAAGTGAATCATATGAATGACTTGACGCTATAGACAATTCACAAAAATATATATTCAGGCAGTCTACTTATTATTACTCACTATGCAATTCTTTCTTTTCCACCGTCACCGTCGTTTTTCCAATGAGAGCTTTAATACGCACAGTTCACTCATTAGAAAGTAGTATTTTTTGTGCGTTTATGTGCATACAAAAAAGCAGTCTTGATTGCGTTTAACAATTATTTTAGCGTTATTTTCTGTATATATCGAAAGTGGCTTGATGCAAACAATTACCTGCATATTGTTGCAAACTGGAATAAGCGTTGCTCAGCGAGTCTTGAAGCCCGTTTAGGGGCGTCCCCGTCAAGGAGTTGAGCGTGAGAGATGTCACAGGACTAAGACTGCCTCCGGTAGACCCTTAAATAGAAATATTATGGTCATGTCATGTCACTTTTTATTGATCCCCAAGTGCAAATTTCGACGATACCCAAGCCCAATTAATTCTGCGGTATGCCTTACATGCTGTGATGTCGAAAACATCAATCGCCATGGCTCTGACTTTGTTATCACCATTAGAAAGCAACTTACGCAATACGACGAACGAATTTTATCAAAGAGTTAACTATTAAATATTTATTAAATAATTATTAGAGAGCGACAATTTTTATTCGAGAAAAATACGAGAAAGTTAATTAAAAGAGTTTCACGGTATATCATTCCTCTCGATTTTTTTCTTTTGCTGATTGTATCCGTTAATCCAATCTGGAGTTTACAGTTTAAAATTGATATACAATATATATTATATTATATTAATATAATATTAATATTTATTATTAATATTATATTAATATTAATTTTAATATATATATAACTCATAATATATTAATTATAATTGAAACAGTCATAAATAATGTTGAAAATATATCTATATCTTTTTGAAGATACATATTTAAGATTAAGGAATGTATAAAAAAATATTTATAAAAATTTAAACTATGCATAAATAAAAATAAATTACAAAAGTTGCAATATGGCATATAAAATATTTTGCTTAATAGAAATTTACATAATATTTTTGAATAATTGGAATTTTAGTCTCTCAGGCATCGTCTTTCTCCCCGATATTGACGAGAAAATTTGTTTTACGTCACAATATAATTAACAATAATAATTTAGAAATTAAATATAAAATACATTTCTATATATAATATACACGCGACCATATATTATATAAAAATATAAGGCTTGCAAATTAATTGCGAATAAATAAGCGTTTTACAAAAAGTTCTACTTTTTTCTTCATTATGCATAAACATCATTGCCAATTAAATTCTTACGGAAAATTGTGCACTCTGCAATCTGTTAATTGCGATAAGCATTTGTGTGCGAGAATCATATATTCCCCCAGTACATTTCAAATATACACACAGAAATATTCAGTCCGATATGTACATATTGTTAAAACAACAATTTTATGATTAATAAAGGATAAAAATATTTAGGTTCCTACAAGCGCCAACCGGGTCTCGCCAATTAATGCATTAATTCAATGTCTGAGAAAGTTTTCACAACAACAATTCAGCGCGCAGTACCAATCACTCACTAATTGGCTCTTCTATTCATATCGTGAATAACATATATATAAAATATACATACACAGCGTCATAAAAAAACTACTGCTACAATCTTTTAATTTACAAAATTCTCTGCTTAACTTGGAATTAAATTTTCTTCAGTGATTTTGATTGAATATATTTTATATTTTATATTTATATATATTTTTTCATTTTCATTTAATGTTTTACGTTAAATATCTTTTCGACTTATACTTGAATTAAAATTCTATTAAAAACCAAGTTAATTTAAACTTAATTAAAAAGGTTTTATTATCTATTTTTATTAAATTTCTAATTCATAAATTTTTAATTTTAATTTCAATTTAATCGAAAATTGTTTTAATGCTTTAAAATTAAATCAAGTAAATGAAAACATCCTATATATTTTTGAAATTGTTTGGTTTTTACAACTGACTAAAATAACATATATACAAAACATGAAATGTATCGTTGGTAACAGGGGAGACCCGTTTGATTAATTAAATCTGCAGTCAATAATAATTATCTTATATACGTTATACAAAATATACAAGAGACAATAATAAAAATTATATACGAGTGACAGAAGAGAAATGACGAGATAAGGATTCGAGAGGAAAATATATGTATAGTATAGTATTGAAGTGCGATAAAAAATCAGCCAAACAATTTTTCTTCCTGTATGAATGTCTCACCTGTATTTCCTGTTTTTCCCAGAAGAGCAGCTACGCACGAAAAAAATACGCAACGTTAAGATGTATATTCATATAAAAGAAAACGAAAAAAAATAAAATACGGTTGTAATCATTTGTTATATGACATGTTTAGTACGATACAAAAAATAATAGAACATTTCTGTCTATGGTTTGACCCACTGTATACGAGCTTACATAATAGCATAAATATAATATACAAGCGTCATAATTCATTAGATGGTAAATATAATTCCCGCGGAAGACTATTTTTCATTATTAAACATATACATTATATTCTTATGTAAATCTGTGATAAGTTTTTTGGTAATTATATATGCCAATTTATTTGTATTTAATGAATTTATGCAAAATTAAACATTATTATACAAGAGAATTTAAGATTCTATAATAGGTTTAAATAAGAAATCAAAAATCGATTTTACCCTTCGCGTTAATCATCAAAAAAATTTTGGTAGATAAAAATCGATGATTAAATTATTATAAATATTTGGATAGAACTGATTCTCAATACTTGAAAAATACTTTCTAATTCTCGATCGTAATTGTGGTTATTAATTACATAATTGATTGTATTGAAATGGTTGGTTTGATATCTCGCATTCGAGGAATAATCTCTTAATATACGATGTATTAAATCGCGTAAGGGAGTATTTGGATCCATTATGAAAATTGAAATGTAGGTAGAGGCAGAGGAACGTGAGGGAACTTTTGAGAAAAGAGAAGAGGGGAAGTGCGTGCGCACGCGTGCACGCGGACTATTAAATAAGCGAAATGGGGAAATCAGACTGTCAACACGATTAAGGCCCCTTTTGCATGATTGAAATTAATTTAGTAATTGTTAATACTGTACCAGGCAATGCGACACGTACATAGCGACATACCTGCTGTCGAATTTGCCAGGCCGCTTAATGCTGAAACACAAAACACGTTTGCGGTATTAACAAGCAGAGTCGGTAATATATATAGTATATTCTCGCGAAATGAAGCTTTGGCGGGATTTTCCGGGTAAAATACTGCCAATATTATTTTTTTAATTGCGATTGGGAAATTGCAGAGTCAACGGTACGCGTTTACTTGTGTCATCAAATTAACATGACGAGTCAAGTTTGCTAGCTTGGAATGTTCGTAAAAAATATTTGTTTTTCTCTTAAACGTTATTACATCACATAAGTTTCTTATAGACAAACTATGCAACATCTGCTAATTGAAAAAAAAATTATGTGGTAAAATATTTAAAAGAATGATATTGAAAAAAAAATTATGTGGTAAAATATCTAAATAATTTATCAATATAATCATATTTTTCAGTATTTATTATATAATTTGATGTAAAAGATTTATTATCCCCTTTTCTCTAATATTAAGCTTTTTATTTTCATTCTAATATATTAAGCTATTTTATTTATTCAAAAGTGTATTTCTTACAGATAATTTATATTTCACATATAAAAAACAAATTTTATTGTATATAAATTGTTAAAATAATTTCGAGAATAGCTATAAAATCACATTTATTATTTTGCAATGTCACGATCTGCTGAGTTTCTTCATAATCAATTCGACTGTTCATTATTATTATAATTGTCTAGAAAACTCATTTTTATGCAATTATGCAATTTATGCAGTATTTGCACAATGTTTTACGTCTAAAAAAACGCAATGATGCAACCTGCATGCTTGACTTACTTTTCTGTTGATTTTACATAAATCATACAAGAAACGTCGTATCGTGGACACGCAAAGTAGAATAATAAAGGTGCGTTAGTTTGCTTTGCTGATACTCATGAAAGCCGGTAAAGAAATAATTATGCAATTAACTACGAAAATATACATCTTACCTGCAGATTTTATACATTTACATGGTTCAAACACATACAATATAAAAAAAGATATGTCACTGGAAATTTTGACACAATTGATTTAGTATGTTGTTTTTGGCGACAATTTAATTATTTCACGATTAATCATTTTACTTTAATTCAGGCTTAATCACCAAATTCATTTAATGAAAGAAACAACTATAACGAGTTTGATCATTTTATTGCGCATAACGTAATAATAAAAATAATAATCTTTATAATAATTATATATATGCAAAAATAATTTTACAAATTACTTTAGAGATTTGGTATCAAATATGCATTGTACCTAATCTAAACTAATTTGTAAAATAACATTTCGATCAAATATATGCTTATATATTACAGTTATATATTGCTTATATATTGTTTTATATCTTTACTTTGAATTTGGCGATTAAGTTTATATATTGGATTTTTCATAATCTACAAACGATTCAAATTTCAGAAGTCAGTCGGGATTTAAAATCGCGTGACGATATAAATTATTGTATTGGAATGACAATTTTATTATTTATATGTAAAATTATTTATAAAACTATTTTGGTATTGATTTTGCTGAGATAGAGAATGAAAATGCTAACTATAATATTATATTAACATATAATCAATTTAGCTAATTTAAATATCTAATAAATATTATCATTTCGAAACTGCGTGTATTTTTAGTACAACATATACACACATACACACACACAACATGCAAATGTAAAGTTAAAATTGAACATGTAATCGTAAAATATTCTTTTCCTCTCGACTGACTTCTGGCATGCATTGTTTACAATTGTGCGTTACGTCTTGGAATATCTGAACATCCCATTGTACCGTCATTACAGTTAAAGTCTGTTAATACACTTTTCGAGGACAAGTATAGACACGCCGTCGCATTATTACTGTCACCGTAATATCGAAACTTCGGCTCACTTTATCCATGCAATACCTACAAAAGCGTGGACAGTTCACCCGTTTGCCTGAAACTTCAACAACGCATGCGATCATTAAAGTCCGACTATGCTCAAGCAAATTTACCGTCTAGCGCGAGTAACATACGTGATGCATAAGCATATGGATGGTTTGTACAATTGATGGGAGAACGGATATATATAACGTATGCTTCGAAGTATACGCATGTAATTCGGAGCACTGGACAGTTCCGCACGGAACTTACAGCTGCACGTTAATGTACGATAATGTGTTCTCCGATTATACACCTCGCGAAATATTCTCTACTCACTGTTTGGCGACACCTGGAGGTTGCCGTTTCCGCCGGTCATAGCTGCCAGAGTGACGAGGTTCTGCATACTCATCGGCGATACGCCCGCGTTCGCTGCAACATAATGCGCCAAAATTTACCGTGGAGAGCCTCGACGTTAATCATCTAAACCGCGATAATTTTGGGATAATATAACATATCTTTTGTTGGTTGACGCAACAAGAACTTGTGTGAATTAAGCTTTGCCTAATTTGAAATAAATTCAACTGCATACGGGAAATTTTTTATCCCGATTTTTTTAATGATATTTTCTGGTAGTACATTAAGGACATATCAATTATCATTATTAAATTAAATTTGACTTAGAAGATCTTTTCGAATTTAATTCAAATTTTAAGCTTGACTGTATATCGAAAGTAGACAACACGTCATTTCGAAGCTGATTCGTATACATTCATTGCGTGAACTTATTGCGTGACTCTAGAATATCATCGAATGATCATACGTTCCGCAGCAATGAACGGTAAACACATATCTCAGAATAAAGTTAATGATAGACACGGTTTTGGCATCATTGTTCTGGCATCCTTCCCAATCCCATAAAACGTAGAATTTTATTATTGCGAAGCAAGCTAACGTAGGACATTCCGTTATAATTTTCGAAAAGATATGATTCACATGGGACTCGATCGGCGGAAATTGAAGAACGTAAGCGTGAAATAATATAATTTATTCTGACACTGATATAATGGAGGAATATAAAATGCGTGAAAGAATAATTTCAGAGAAGGAACGGATAAAATCTGATTCCTCTGACAAAAGCAGATCTATCGTATTCTATAGCGCTTCTATAGCGTCGGAACAATGGTGCGCCTGACACATTTTTAAGCAAAAGCGGATTTACATCTCCCGCGAGAAATTATATATTTAAATTTGCCCATAAGATTTACGTTTTTAATTCGTTCGCAAAAATAAGACTCTTATAAGTATTGGAAGGTTAACCGTAAAGTGGGGTCAAAAGGTAACGCGTCAATTTAAATATGCACATTTGAAGAAGAGAGAGATAAGTTTAAGAATCTTATACGTTAATTATTCTAATATTAAAAACATAAAACAGTTGACGCAACTTGTGCGATATAAAATGCAAATGCACGAAGCGGGTGGATAACATGCATTTTGAACTTGTTATAAGATTATGCATAATTTATTATAAAACATATACGTGTGAAAAAGACGCAAGAAAAGATAAGAATGATAAATATATCATTACTTTTTTTTAACTATCAATATGTACAATTTTACTTCTTATCTGATAATTTTATTTATCCGACAATAAAAAAAGATCTATTAAATTGATATCAAATATGTTTACGATACGCTAATTTTTTATCGATTTCAATATATATTCGTACATTCCATACACATATATATATACACACACACATATAAATACGTTTTTAAATAAAATTAAATACAAATTTATAAATAATCATTAGAATAATGTCGATGCAATAGAGGCAAGAATATTGATTACTTTTTTTTTTAAATTAATAATAATCAAATACGGTTATCTTGAAAAAAGATCTCATTTGAATCTCTGCAAAGTCTGTTAATTACATCTAATTGGTATTCGAAAAGCGACAGCACAATGAATGCAAATAAGCAAAAATAAAAATGGATAACAACCAATCGACACTGACCATACTCACCAGCGGTGTTGCTCAGAGATGCGAGGGTGGCCAGACTTTGCAGATTCGCAGGGTTGATTTCCGCCGGACTCGGTACAGCGGGGGGCGCTGCGTGCGCGGGGGTTGCCGCTCCAAGGCCAAGGTGTTGTTGTAACAACAATTGATGTTGCACATTCGACAATGCATTCGCCGCCCCCGCGTTAGCAGTGACTGGAGTCGCGGCGCTCGTTGTCGCCTGCAATTGTTGCAGCAGCTGCAACGATGCAGGCGCCAAGGTATGCGCGTCATTCTGTGAGCAAACGAAATTTTCATCATCCAAGTACGCGATCATAGTTTTATCGATATAAATTCTTTATAATACCAGCATGCAAAATTTTTATAGATTTTCTGAAAACATCTCATCTCATTTTTACTTAGCCAAGAATCTTTGATTGTTTTAAATGGTTTTATAAATGATTTATAAATCTAATTTCTTTCTCTGTTGGGATTTTTAAATATCTTCACAGATCCTTAATCCGGTTTCTCGGTGAATTTTTGCTAAGAAAAGATCGATTGCAAATTCGTCAGAAAATACGCTTTTTCTTGTAAAGTTTTATGCAAATCTCATGAAACGTTTAATAAAAACAAAGGCTTTGGTGCAGGTAGTCGCGTTGAACTGCATTATATGCGTTCGAAGAATACAGGCCATGTTCTTCGAAAAAGTCTCAGTTCCTTTTTTTCATATATTTTGCATAACAAAATTGAGGTCGCCGTGTAGAAAGTCTCAAAGGCTAGATAATGCATACGAGTGTAAGGCGCTCAAACGATAGAACCATGAAGAGCATTCTCGTTCTCGATGCAAATGGAATCTTTGATACCGGCCAAAGAGCTTTTATTATAAAATATTAAGCACACGTACGGTCAGGTAATGCGGCGCGATGTTGACTCCCGCGATATTCCAGAGATTCGACTGGAGTTGCTGCATCCTTTTCTGGTCCTTTTCCTTTTGCGTGTCGGCGAATTTTACGACTAACGGCGACGAACAACCCTGAAAATTGTGTAATATTGACATAGCTTAATAATAGGTGTGAAATTTAAGAAATGTTGATTGCAATTAGAATTCGATATTTCGACGATTAAAATACATGTAAATTAAAAATTAATAATATATAATTTTTTCATATACAATTTCACAAATAATTATTTTTTTATATATTACTTATACAAATATATTTTCTTATAAAACTTTTCTGTAATATAAAAACACGAAAGTACAATATAACGCACAGTAACAATAAGTGTTCGAGATATCAATTCTCTAATAAATTGTTATAGTTTTTTGAAATAATGCATTAAATTTTCTTCATATCAATAGCTGAGTATTTCAAAATTAAAGCAACTAATGTTCATGCTGTGATTTAAAGGTAAAAAAGATATATAATATTTCTCTTCTATTCTCTGTTTTAAATTTGAGAGATATTCATATTTCGAGAATTATATCAACGTTTTCAATGATATATTTTTTGTCTTGCTTTCTTAAATTCTTGAAAAAGTTTCTCTGTCATAGTTCGATACTCTTCTCATTAGTTTCGAACTTCTATCATAGTTCGCTCCGAGTGTCGTTTTACACCTGAATTCCATATCCCTCCGCCCGATGCATTATTGGTTCAAGTCCAAGTTCAACATTGGCGTGAGAACGGATTTGCTGATGATCGGGCGTTACATTGGGGGAAAGAGTACTTTTACGTTTGACGATATTCGGGATGGTACACGCAAAGCGCGAGGTCGACGCACTATATACAATGCGCGTGCAATCGGAGATGCGAAATCGGCGTGCTGGTTACGCCGGTAGCGAGGAACGAGCAAGTTCGAGGAACTTGTAGTCGGAAATATTCGTGATATTAAAGTGAAATTGCCCTCGTGCCCGCATGCCTTGGCACAGCTCGCTTTTACCATTCAAAATAGTACATAACATAGGCGTAGTAACTGTCGCCAGGACGAATAATCCATTTTACAGAAACACCAGGTATATTCCGTGAAATAATTGTTGATGATTTAAATGTTTAAATGCATCACATTTTATATTACTAAAACAAAATTGTATTAGGTGATAATCATAACTGTAGAATGAAATTTTAGTAATAATACGTGAAGAGAAAATATAAATAAGATTAAGAAAATCTTGATATGAGAAGTAAGCATGATTAATAAGGAAAAATATAATTATTTTTTAATTTAGAATTTCAAAGAATGAGATGTATCATAAGCTGTAAATTTTCCAGTATATTTTTATCTCAGAATCTATTAATTTTCCTGAAAAAAATTCTTGTGAAAATTACTTGTAAGGAAAAAACAGATTTTTCCATGAAAAATTATCGTATCTATAATGCACAATTAAATATTAATATTTGGCAATTCTATTATTTTTAAACAATGCAAAATTGAGATGTGATAACAACTAACATTTATCTGTCTCTATCTAATCTTAATCTAACATTTGCGAAAGATTAGGATGCTGAGAAATATAGTGAACGAGAGAGTGGGAGACGGAAAAGTCCTGGCGTGCTTCGAATCGCCAAGGTGTCGGCCGGTTCGGTGTCGTTTTTACTTGCTCGATTTTAGTTACCCCGAGTTAAATTGGTATATCACCGAGGTGACTAGCCGGGTTGTGGATGCATGCGGATGTTTCGTCGAGTGACAGTGGCATCGAGCCAATACATCCGTCGCGTCGGCTCGGTTGAATCGCCATGAAAAGAAATGAGCCGCGAAGATTCAACGACTCACTTTGTGCCATCATCTATCAACTTCTTTATGACACTGTTTTCGCTTAGATTTTCGCGGCCTAATTTCTTGCAACGTAAACGTGAGTGTAGATTACGTATCCTCATTGGAACACGAGTGTTCATTATCTTAACAAGTAATCAAAATTCTACTCTATTATTCGTTGGCTTATTATAAAAAATATAGACGCAAAATTGATGAAGGAATGAGGGCAAAATTATAATCGGATGATAGATCAGTGAATGTTACTTTAAAAAAAGCAGAAATAAAAATAAGCACATTAAATTATTCTTATATGAATTTTTTTGATTGCTACTGTATCTTATTAAAAATTTTATTATTATAATAATTTTAGAGTAAATTCATATATATAGATGAGAAGATTATATAGAATATTAGATAATATTATTTTAATTATTAATCGAGTTGTTCCACAATAAAGCTGCTGTACGTGAATTACTAATATTAACGTGAACACTAGAATTATTCTGTTACGTGCAAGAAACCTTTCAATTTAAAAATTTATAATCTCAGAATTAATAACTAAGTTGTTTAGAATTTATTTTTTTATATATACTTAAATTTAAAAATATGTATTACTAAATATATTAGCAATTTTAATTACTTTAATATTAATAATTGTGATTAATTTTTTATTTAATTATAAAGTGTTATAAACATTATATATTATTATATTGCTTTTTTTCATGCTCTATCATTTTTAATTATACTCACCTCCATTGTCTGGGAATGATGCAGAGCTTTAATGGCATTGATCGCGTACTGTTTACTAGCGAAGGTAACGAAGGCACAGGCTTTACTCTTTCCGGTACTGTCCCTCAGCACCGAACATTCTTCGATCATTCCGTAAGCGCTGAACATGTTCCTAACGTCGTTCTCCGTAAACTTTTTCGATAGCATGCCGACGAATAACTTGCGCTCTGTAATAATAAAACAAAACTTTTTCAAGGATCGTTTTAAATGATATCTTTTATATTGTATGTGAAAAGCAAATAGGTATATTTCGTTTGTATGTATATATTAATGAATGCCACATAGCGATCGCCTTAAAGATAATATGCAATTATTTATCATCATGTGTGTGTATATAATTAATCAGTCAGAGAGACGTGCCTTGCTGACTAATCATATAATCGAATGACTAAGATATATGCAGTTGTTATTAGCAAGGACATATGATACACTCTTTGTGGAATTACGTTGTGGATAAATTAAATGCGTTGCTCATTCTTACTGCATTTCTTACAGATAAATAGATATTTAGAATTGATCGATTTCATGGATTTTTTTCAAATCGAGAATAATTCAGACAATGCAATCTTTCTTAATTGGATTCTTAAGTTTATTTTAACAATTCGGAGTTATTAGTTAGTCCATAAATAACGTTCGGCTTTTTAGATGCGCCATCGTGTGTAGTAGAATATACGTCAAAAAAAAAAAAAAGGTTGAAATTATTGAGTATGAAAAAATAAATTCTTGTAGCAGAGCTTATACGTATATAATGAACTTAGCATCTCGCTATTATTTTCTTTGATTATTTGCATTTACCAGTCGGCTCATTACAAAATTTTTATAAATGAACCGATCAATCATCATCAATGTAATATATAATAAGAAACGATTGAACAAATGTTCTGCAATTTAAAGGTTAACAATCGTCATTTAATATTCTCGGCCGCGAGTGATTAATCAAAAGAATAAGTGTTTCTATGATATGACGTAACTTGTTCTTAAACTTTGTCGTCTCGAGCCGAGATGGCGAGTGACATCATGATTTTCCATCTCGCCTACCGTTTAATAAGCGTTTACGGATAATGCAGACGGTAGTCAAGAGCTATGGACCTATAGTACTGACCACATTGGAGAAGGCGACCTGGTCAATATTTGTTTAGGACCGGGAGAAAAGCTCTACCTAGAGGAAAGCCGCTTATGTAAATTCGGCGTCCCAGGGTATAGGCTAGGCAAAATACTCGGATATCTCTTGAGTTTATCCCCGTTTTCTCTCATCCCTGTCATGCGTGTTCAATTCTCCGGTGAATCTTCTCGGTGTTAATGCATCGCGGTTACTTCTGTGTGCGCAGTAAGAATAATGCTCAATCGAAAGATCAAAATTCTGTCTTGTATAAAATTTTATGGCGTGTTATATATACAAGACAAATTTTATTTATATAAAAACTCTATTATATCAAATTTTCAAATCAAAGCTTTTTCATTTTGTTACTCGAGAATTTGATTACCAAAACTGTAAATAAATGAATTTATATGCTTTAATCAGTGGTTCTGTATATGTGTAAGTAGAGCTTTGCAATTTGATATTTACCGAACATTTATAAAATCGATATGCGATAATAACATCTCGCTATGCGCGAGATTTATCTGTAATATGAAGTTTTTACGCGAGGAAAATTAAATTCGTGATTCTACCACCATTCCCGCGTATTCGCTTTTATATAAATATACCGCGCGAGAGTATTAGATCGCGAGTATTAGATACTCAACAGTGACTCGCGTCATATTAATGATCAATATTTTAGAGCATTAATAATAGGAATTAATATATTGATACCGAGCTGTGCAAACTTGTTGGCCAACAAGAGAGCTAAACATGACGAGCTTTAATATGTGAAAATCGTGGTTTGCTGTCAAATGTTGCAATCCAATTCGTGCGATATCAAAGGAACATGATGCTGCGTTTCAAGCTATGTGTGCAGCGCGAATTGAAATCGAGCAACGTCGATTTATAGTATGCGCAATGTATCCATAGAAATTGATATCAAATTCATACGGTACAATTGCGTGTGATCGTATTTCCGGAAATCATCAATACGCTTTATGTGCAAATAATTACGGTCCATGTTGCTGATAAATAACATCACGAAACATTTTCGTAATGCTCCTTTTATAACAAAATATAATAAGGGATACTGATTATAAAATATGTTGTTTCAAAATGTAATCTCGAAATGTTTGATGTTTCTGTTCTCGATAATTTTATGCCTTTTCAATAATATATTTAGAATTGTATGGCAATTTTCAAATAAGTGTAAATTCCTTAAAATGTGTGTGTAAGCCTTAGCTTATATAATTTACCTTTTAGTCTAGTTTAATTTATTTATCCATCTAGATGAAAACTCCTTGAGACAATAATCTAGCTAATTCTTAGTGTTTACAAGTCTTTGCGTTTAAGGAATCGTATTTCATTAAAAAAAAAATTAAATAAATAAAAAAGAAAAAAACACAGATTAAGGATCAAGGGAGTTCACGCAGAGTTGATTTGTGCAGGAGATAAAAGCGGAAAAGAGCGCCAGATATATCAGCCCAGACTACGGCGAACTCGTTCGCAGTTAACGATTTAATTAATTTTGCAACCCCTAGCGACCGGATACCCGCGGTTGTCGGCGACGGATCGGATTTCTCGCTGAAATCGAATGAAAATTTTAAGCTCGCGTGCCCTTTTTACCTTCGCGAGGAAAATACGGTGTAAAAAGGCAGCCGGCTGAGGGCGGAAGACAAATTCTCCTCCCTCTCCCACTCCCCTTGCGTTCCAGCGAAACTGCGGCCTTCACGGAATGTTTATTAAATACCGAAGGTGCTGGTTTGTGCTCTTCCCTCTTCCTTCTAAACGGACCGAAATTTTCCGTCCGTTGCGACCAAGCGGGACGGGTATTATCCGCATACGGAGGCCAACGTATCGAGTACCCCGGGGATCGATTAGGGGTGGAGTCGTGGTCGGCTAGGAAATAAGGAGGGTGGACGCGAATCCCGTCTTGATATCCTCGATTTAATTCACATACGAGAATAATATAGATTGACAGAGTCATTTCACACAGCTATTCTGTCGAAATCGAGATAATTTATAACAAATTAATTCCGTCATTTGAAAATTTCTTCTAAATGTTGCAAAAGATGTTAATCTTTCGTTTTCCTTTTTGATGACATTTTTTATTTTTTTAAATTATTTTATATATGTATACAGTTTAGGAAATTTTGACAAGTAAAAACAGTATTGTAACATTTTATCCATATTGAAAATATCATTACTTTTACAATAATTAATTCAATTAAACACACACATATATATAGCTCTTTAATAATACATAATATCTCCTTTATATTGTGTCTGTCGGGATAACATCGAGCTCATTATAATCACATTTAGACGCGAGGCTATTAACGCAGAAATAAAACAAGAACACGATACAGAGGCACTGACCTCTGTAACTGCATTTGTAATGTAATTCACGTGCAAACTAGATACGACGCGGCGTCGGATCATGCAGTCGGATATGAGATGCAGATCGCGCCTGCCGGAATGTTTGCATCGCACCGAATATTCCGTTAGGACGTCTACGGCACGTCTTCGCAAGATACGTGCATCAAAGTATTGCGCATACTCTATCGATCGAGCTTTATAAGGTCGGACTGCATAGTAAAATAAACATGTAATATAATAGAATAATATATAATATATAATAGAATAACAAAATACAGAAGTCACTGTAAATTGCAAGTGCGATGCAACTCTTCGTACCTTCCCGTAGAATGACTCACAATTGTTTTGATATCAGAACTGTTGATTAGAATTTTGACAGATACCGCGCACATACGTATGGTTTTTATGTGAAAGATTAATTATTTGATGCACTATTTAATTTCCAATTCTAAATTAATTTTATTTGAAATTTTCACATAATAAAACTATTTAAATAGTAAATTTTTATATTGTTCGTATGCAAAATAATATATAATAAAAAAATCTCGAGGAAATAAAATAAAAATATGCTAATATCTTTACAAATATATAATGTAATAAGAACATCATTATAATTATATAAGATAAATTTGATTATTAAAGTGCATTGGAGAATTAATGTAAAAACAATTTGCTAATGATTCCCGTCAGCCACTACGCGGTGAAAACTAATTTTCGATTGCATTTCGTGCGATTAGTAGGTGTTGATAATAATTTGCACTTTCCTTCAAAGCGTTTATTCGATACAAATAGATTCCAACTTCCACAAACAAAACGCTCGTGGCCAGCTGGTGGCCAATGTGGTCGCTTCTGTTCGATCCGATCTCCTTCTATGTATCTCACGAACTCATTCACAACCTGTGCAATTAAATCGCAGCCTGCAAACATGATAAGTTTTTCAATAAATTTCCGAGCTAGGTATTTCGAATCGATCTTCGTGCTCGGATACGCAACCCTTCTCACTGTCGTTTTTTTACTCGATTTTGCTTTTTTCGTAGTGCGATGCGCTCAAGCGCAAGACACTTCAAATAAACCAACACTTACTGGCCGGAAAAAAAAAAAACCAGCGCGAGATTAGAATCGTGCATGCAAATGCAAACAAGCGAGGGAGTACCGGAATTTCACTGGGAGGCAATTCGATGCGCCTTTCCGAGATGCGGCAACGAGTCTTTGCTCCGGTACGTATCGCCGGAAGCGCAGCTCTTTGATCCTAAAGTTCGATTTCCAAATTCGTTATCTCATTTGTCGAAGATTCTTCGTTCAAGTAAAATTTCGAAATCGAAAAAAGTTGCAAAAAAGCGAAAACAAAGTCGTTTCACACAATTCCCAACTATTTGAAACCGAAATTATTTTCAATTTTGCAACAGAATATTTTGCATATTAAATTCGATTTAATTATATCTGTGATGTGTAATGGATACGATAAAATTATCTAGTGCATAAATAAATATTACCGGAGTATATAAAAAATTTAACGATATAAATTCCGAAGCTGAAACTTGGACCAAGACTCAATTTCCGCATGCGGTTCGCACGTATAAGTTTAAAATTCTGAAAGTTATATTATCCGAATACAACTTTAAAACATAAAAATTTAAAAATACTAGAAAATATAAAATAAAATTATCAGAATATCTTTAAGAAATTCTCATTATCATCGACATTCGA